CTAGATCCCATGGGTGTGAAGCACAGAGACCACGTCGAAGATCCATCAGAAGCTTAGCCGCATACTTGAGCCTGAATACTGATTGAGATCAGCATCCTATCTGAATGTATTACTATTTGCTGTAGATTTTCCGGGATGTGTGGCTGTGGTCTTGGCAGTGTAGGACCTGATGTTTCGCCAGTAACTGTGACTGGCATCCTCAGAGGTATGAACACAGAAAGATGGAATACTCTCTGTATTACCTTTCCTGATTTTTTGTAAAGCACTTTATGAGCAGTGGCTCAAGTGGTTAAGACGCTGAACTGCAGGCTGTGGAAGGTCGGTAGTTCAGCAGTTCAAGACCCGAGTGTGCCGCATGACGGAGTGAGCTCCCGTCTCTAGTTCCAGCTCCTGCCAACCTAGCAGTTCGAAAGCAAGAAATTGCAAGTAGATAAATAGGTACCACTTCGGTGAGAAGGGAACAGCGTTCCGGGCGCCTTGATGTTTAGTCATGCCGGCCACATGACCACAGAAACGTCTTCGGACAGTGCTGGCTCTTCGGCTTTGAAACGGAGAGGAGCACCGCAACCCTAGAGTCGGATTCGACTGGCTTTCGAGCAAGGGAACCTTTACCTTTTTATGAGCATGAGAGCTTTTGTACTACCGTGTAGAAAATTTCCTGAGGAAGATCCAATTTTGAAACGTCGTTATAGAATCCGGAGATGACGTTGATGCATTCTTACACAAGGATTTCCTTCTGATTTGAAGGAATTTGCTCATGGTGTTGCAGCGCTCGTTGACAATAATATACAGAAGATATTTTCTTTGCGAGTCTTGTTGACTGCTCGATTTGTGGGTCAGGCTCTCATGACTGTTTTCTTAACATCTCTGCTCTTTATCAGGTCGTGATTGTCCACATTTGTCTTGAGTTGGAAACACCAGCATTGATGGGCCGATGGTCTGATTCAGTATAAGCAGGGCTATTTTGGGGGCAGGAACGCACAGGAATGGAGTTCCGGCTGGCTCCCAAGTTGGCCATGCCCAGCAGAAACTCATTAGCATAAAAGGCCACACCCAGTGGCAGGAACTCATTAGGACTGGCTACATTAGGGGTGTGTGGCCTAACAGGCAAAGGAGTTCCTGCTCCAAAAAAAGCCCTGGGTTTTGACAAAAAACAAGGTAAACAGAATAAGAAGCAAAAGGTGGGTGTGGCTGGATGAGCACACTTCTGGTAGCATGGGGGTGTGGCCTAATGTGCTAATGAGCTGTGCTGTCATGGGTGTGGCCTAATATGCTAATGAGTTCCTGCTGGGCTTTTTCTACAAAAAAAAGCCCTGAGTATAAGACAGCGTCACGTCCAGGTTAGGTATAACGCTTTGGGAAAGACTGTGTTCTGTGGCACTGCAAGGCCTTTCGAGACACAGGAGCAAGAGAAGACACACAGCGACTCCGCGAGCAATGTTCACACTGTCGTACTTACGCCGCTTTGGGCAGACTTCGCTGCAGCCACGGGGCTCCCTGCCTTCTCCTCCGTCTCCATGGTGTCGCTGGAAAAACGAGACAAAACAGCCTAATTTGCATCGTGGACTGGGTCAGATTGTTCTCCGGGTTCTAACACCCATAAAGGTGACAGCTCAAACTATAACACAAAAAATTAGGGTTGCCAAACCCCCCGGTTTGCCAGGGGTCCCCCGTTTTTTGGGGGGTTCTACCCGCCGCCAGCCAGATGGCCGGCAGGGGAAGCCCCACCCCCAACACCCACAGCCACCCCTCTCTCTCCCTTTAAGTGTGTGGAACCCGTGTTTCCTCCCAAGCCTGTGTTTCCTCCCAAGCCCGATCTCCGCTTGAGATCAGGCTTGCAGGGAAATGCCAGCTTCGTGCATTTAAAAGGGAAACGCAGCTGCTCTTAAAGGGGAAACGCCGGCTCCTTTAAGTGCAGGGAACTGCCGTTTCTTGAGATCTGGTGCGCGGGTGGGGGCGGTGGACATCTCCAACGTGATGTCATCACATCGGGGATGCCCCGCCCCCTCCAGGAACGCCCCCAAAGTCCCCCGCTGGGGGTGGAAGATGGACTTGGCAACCCTACAAAAACACCAAGAAGCTGTAAACAGATGCTATGCATCAGATAGAAATAGGATTAGATCTACAGCACGCCATCTAATTTGACTGAAGGAACAGCATCATTGAGCACTTTAATTGTCATATATGGTTCTTTTATCTTGTTTATACATGTTTAATATATTCTGGCACATGGTGCCCTTAATTGTAAGCTGCCCTGAGCCCGTTCGCGGGGAGGGCGGGATAGAAATTTAATAATAAATAAATATTATTTCTCGAATTGCCGAACTACCGACCTTCCGGCCTGCGGTTCGGCGCCTTGCCTTAACCACTTGAGCCACTGCAGCCCCAAGAGTCAGCTACCTCTCAAGAAATGCTAATAGATCTAGCCAGGGGTCATTTCGTAGAAAAAGAGGTGCAGGAGTTCATTAGGACAACTCATTAGCATAACTTATTTGCATATGCCACGCCACCTCACCTCACCGGAAGTGTGTCAGAAGGCAACACCCACCGCTCAGGCTCCACCAGACTGTTTTGGATTGCTAGCTATGGGGGGAGGGGGGTGCAGATCTGTCCTTGCAGAGGAGGGAGAGCTTGTACCTGAATAACTGGTCTTAAATGTGCCACTGGACTGTTTTGGGCTGGGGGGGCAGGGGGGGCTCTGCAACTGACCTGGTTGCTTCTTGCTCTGGCTGAGGGCTGCTGGGAGCAGGGGGTGGGGCTTGTTGCATGTGCCCACCAGTGCTCCCTCTAAGCTGAGTTAGTGTGAGCTAGCTCACAGTTTTTAAGCCTCTGGCTCACACATTTTTGCCTTAGCTCATGAAGGATGGTTCCAGAACAAACTAATTTATACAGTGGCCAAATCACCTGCTCACCACTTTAATGCCAGTAGCTCACAAGATAGAATCATTGCTCACAAGACTCCACAGCTTAGAGGGAATATTGGTGCCCACCCCCTGGGCTCTTTACTGCCGGAGCTCTGCTCCTGTGCGCTCCTGCAGGAAATGACCCCTGGATCTAGCTAGAGACAATGTGGTAGGTCAAGTTCTCCCCAGCCTCTTCTAGCAGGGAACAGAGATCTGGAGGAATTAAATACTAGAGTGACTCCAGGAAGGAAATGTCTAGAATCTTCAGAAAAAGCTTCTATGACCAGCCTGACCTAGTCAGTAGGTGGGGGAAAGAGAGGTGATAAAACAGGGGAGCAAGGGGGAAGTTCTCTTTCTTTGGGTTGCCTCGGTGCTTGGTTCTTGTGGCCCTTTTCTGCACACCCAGAGAGATGCTAGTTGCCACTTTGGGGGCAGGCAGCAATCCCTGGAGGGTTTTTTTTCATCTTCTGGGTATGGAACAGCGGTCACTACGGGTGTGGAGGGGGAGGTATTTGTGAATTACCTGCATTGTGCATGGGGTTGGACTATATGACCCTGGAGGTCCCTTCCAACTCTATGATTCTATTAAATAAATAAATGGAATCAATGCTCCCTCTAAGCTGTGGAGTCTTGTGAGCAAAAATTCTACTTTGTGAGTCACTGGCATTAAAGTTGTGAGCAAGCGATTTGGCTACTGCATAATTTAGATTGCTCTGGAGCCATCCTTCCTGAGCAAAGACAAAAATGTGTGAGCCGGAGGCTAAAAAACCTGTGAGCTAGCTCACACTGACTCAGCTTAGAGGGAACACTGAATGGCATTGTTTGAAGAATGTACCTGTTGTAACTGTTAACAACCCTAAATAACACTGCACAGTTACTGTATTATCATCTTGCTTTTACTGCAGTGTCTTCTAGTTTTGTAATACAGTTTGTGCAATATTTACGGTATGTCCTTCCCTGCAGGAGCCGCTGCGGAGCCAAAAAAAAAAGCCGAGCAACCACAGAATCGGAGGAAGAAGAGCCGCCGGAAATCTAACTAGCCGGTAGGGTGCCTGGTAGGCATCCCCCTCCCCAATATTGACTGTGGCCTTAGTTAGGATTGTTAATTGTATAATGTAAACCTCTCAGAGTCCTTCGGGGTCGAGCGGTCTAGAAATCGAAAGTTAAATAAATAAATAAATATCGTTTGGTTTGGTTTTTGCACTGTTTGCTAATTTTGCAAACCTAGTCGCTGTTTACTGGATGGTCTTCCGCTCTCTGTTGACTGGATGGTCTTCCGCCATCTCTGACTGCATGGTTTTTCTACCTTCTCATCCACCTTGGCAGGCTATAAATCAATACGCGTTCCAGCGGCCTTACCCTTCTTTCTCCACTCCGGGGACCGTCCCTGTATTCGTCGACCCGGGCACAGAGGCGATAGGGGTGCCGACAGTCCGGAGGTTCTGGATCACGGAAGAGAGGAACTGCTGGCTGGCGCTTTCGTACAGATCGAAACAGATCTGGTAGGCCATGAGGAGGTTGTCCTCCTTCACCAGTTTCTCCAAGATGTCGCTCACGGCCTGCGGATCGTCTAAGAAGATGAGGCACTGTGAGAGGGAGAGAAAAGGAGGAGTCGGAGAAGGCACTTCGGGTGGGAAGAGTGGGCTCCGTCGGGGGTCTCTCTTTCACTCCTTCCTGCCTCAGAGTTCCCAGAAAAAAAACTCTAAATAAATGTTTACCAGAACTAGATAACAAGGTTTCAGTTTTGTTTTAGCATGTGGGTGGGTATTCTGTTTGTAATAACTGTTTGGATACACTACATTTTTAATATGCTAGTTGTGAACATTTCATGCCAAGTAAAAATATTTTATGTCCCTAAAGTTCCTAAAAGAGATGACTTTCAATCTAGAAAAGACAAAAGAAATGCTAATGTAGCATTTTTTCCAATTTTTCCGAAAATTTCTGTTTTTTCCCGGGAAAAAAATGGGGTTTTTTCCGAGCGTCAAAATTTCCGGAAATTTTACATCTCTAGTGTGTGTGTGACAAACCACCTCCGAATGCCTCTTGCGCTGAACGGAACATTGCAAGCATCCCTGAGCCGCCTCGGCGGGAGGGCGGGGTGAAAGTCTAACGAATAAATAAATAAATAAAAAACCTACGGAGTCGCCCTAAGCCTGCTGCCACTTGACAGCACCCTCCAGCACCAAACTGTGCGACTGGATACCAATTCTAAGCATATGGAAGCCCACTGAAATATATTACCCAGAGGGCTTACCTCTGGGTAATATATTCAGACCTATCAAGGCTGCGGTCACACGGAGCATTAGGCACGCTAGAGAGACGGAAGATAGGCGGATTTCCCGGGCGCGATCTCACCGGCACATCTGGGAAGCGTAGCGCTCCCGTGGCTCACCCGAGGCTTCACTCCGAAGATGCGCTGTAAAAAACTAGTACCTCCGAGGTACTAGTTTCCGGAGACCGCGGGGCAAGGGCGGGCGTCAGATCGCATTTCCGGTGGTAGTTCCAGCGCCCGCCCATGTCCCATCGCAAAAAGGGTGTTTTTTCCCCCCAAGTCTCCACGGATGCGCACAAGCACCCAACGGAGCATGTGCACACTTTAGTTTAAAAAAAACAACACAACCCTGTTTACCCCACAGCCCCGCTTCTTTACAGCGCCGCAGGATTGTCCTGTGATCGGCACCTCCCCCCTAACCACGGGACCTCCACGAGATGTCTGCTCACGCAACCGTGCGTTATTTTGCCCAGGGGCAAACAGCCACGCTTCCCCCCCGCGTTTTCTGGCCCGTGTGACCGGAGCCCAAGATGGGTAGCTGTGTTAGTCTGTCTGTAGGAGTAGAAAAGAGCAAGAGTCCAGGAGCACCTTAAAAGCCGGCAAAATTTATGGCAGGGTAGGAGCGCAGGGAATTAGATACCGGAAGAAGCGAGCCGTGACTCACGAGAGCTCCTCCCCTGCCACAAATTTCGCTAGTCTTTAAGGTGCTCCCCGACTCTTGCTATATTCAGACCTACTACATAAATCAGATTAATCACAAGTCTTCTCCAATGCTAAGCCAGCATGTGGGTTGAAGCCGTACCTGGCACACGTTGATGAAGTCGGGCTTCTCCAGGTTCATGTAGATTTTAACCAGGACTCTCAGGACTTGGTTGCGGAATTGCTTATTCTGCATCAAGGACATGCAGAGTTTTAAGCTGTAGGCCAGCATCCCGGGAACATCATTCTGCATATAAAGACACAAACAAACCAAAAAGGAGAGAAAGCTTAAGTCGTTTCAAATGCTTTTTCCAGTTTTGAGTTATTCAGCAAACTTCCAATCTGGGGGCGTGGGATGTTACTGTGGGTTCCATTGCACCTTGTACTTTCACGACGGCTGAGGGGTGACATGATCGAGGTCTATAAGATTATGCATAGGATAGAGCAGGTAGAGAAAGAGGTACTTTTCTCCCTTTCTCACAATACAAGAACTCGTGTGCACTCCATGAAATTGC